AATCGAGGAATTGATCGTCGTAACCGCTATCACGTGGGTCCCGGCATCCAATTTCTATCACGTTATTGGATCTAACATTTCTCCCACGTTTAAGGGCGAGTTCCACGAGCTTTCCGAGATTACCTGCCTTAGTTCGGCGACTTTGAGCTCCTTAATATCGTAGTACGTCACAATCGTGGTACCATAAATTTTAACCATCCCGACGGCCGAGAAAATATCGAAGACCTTCAAAGAAGCCGTACAATAATGGGAGGTTATAACTTCACGAAGTCGTCTTTTTTGCATTGAGGTAGCCCCGGCGAAGATAGACCCCAGATAATAGGCATACACCAGGGCGTTGATTCTTTCTTGTAGACGGATCGATTGGGAGAGAAGCGAAAAGGTCAAGGTCACGCGAGTCGTTAGATCATGTGAGTCGTTGAACGGTGGTGAGATCAGATTTGCATCATTAGGTACGGCCTGGTTGATGTCATTGATGATCTGACGTACGGTAAGTCTCATTTTTACTATATTTTGTTCTACTTTCTTTCTCACGCTTTGATCGTTCTTATATCTTTTTCTTCCCTTGTTCTAGATCGATCTCTTTTATTTTCCTGTTTCTTTTCTCGATTATCGACGATTTGCGCCCCCATTTTCTTGATGAATCACGGTGTCTTTTCCTTAATCGGCCACATTCGCTAAGGGTATCATGCGCGATTCATGCACCCGCTGGCAAACGTGGTTTTTTTTTTTTTTTTTTTTTTTTTTTATAATTGTTTTAATTCCGATCATAGTATTCTTTAAGTAGTGCGACGTTGAACGGGGTTGCGAGCACTTTTCCGTTTATGGTGCGCAATTTATAGACATCCTTTTTTAGTATCTGATGGATGTAAAACGGACCATCCCATTTCGGTTCTAGTTTCACGCTCTTACTATGCTTTTTCGACGCACGGTACAATAGGACTTTGTCGCCGATGGATAAATCGGGTGGAAAACGGGCATTATGGTCGTACCGTTCCTTTTGTTTTTCTTGAGCTCGTTGGATTTCTAACACAGCCTCATGGCGTGTTATCGGTAGGTCTTCTAACAATTGAAACGTTCTTTGTATTATAGTATCTTCTAATAGATCGTTCGTTTCAATTGGCAGGCGGGCTTCTCTTCCATGCATCAAGTAGAATGGCGTGATTTTGGTGGTCGCATGTTTGGAAGTACGGTATGCAAATAATGCTGCAGGTACAACAAGGTCCCAGTCGCTAACGTTTTCTATTGACCTTGCAATAGATTCGCACAAGGTCTTATTGTATCGTTCCACCAACCCGTTGGTCTGTGGGTGGTACGGCGTCGAAAGTAGGTGCTTGATCTTGAATTTTTCCAACAACCTATCGACGAGTTCATTCCTAAAATGGGTGCCACGATCCGATAACAGTTTGAGGGGACATCCATGCCGACATACGATATCTTCGAACACGAAATCCGCCACACTTTGAGCGTCAGCCTTCGAAATCGCCCTAGCTTCCGGCCATTTCGTCATATAGTCGTCGCTACGACTATGTATCGTGAGTTTCGTGGCGTAATTGGGAGTGGACCTATTATATCGATTCCCACCTTGTAGAATGGTGCCGTTACAGGTATAGGTTGTAAAGGTCCCGCATACTTATTCTTCCCTCTTTTTTGACAACTTTCGCACGAACGGACGTATTGTTTAATATATTCGAATGCTTGCGGCCAATAGTACGTCCTGCGAATTTTTTCAAACATCGTCTTGGCTCCAAAGTGTCCACCAAGAGGATGATCGTGCGTTAATAAAAGGATGGGGTCGATTTCGTGTTTCTGCACTACTTTTAAAGGTCGGTCTTGAACTTTCTTGTTTTCCTTGTATAGTAGACCATCCTTTAACAAAAACGATCTACTATTATTAACTAATTGTCTCTTCTGTTTCTTATCTAGGTCGCCGTCGATATAGCTTTCTTGTAGATATCTCTTTAGCCGATCGTAATCTTCTACCTCCATTTCGAGTTTCTACTGCCAGGACACCGACTACCTGGACTGGATTTAGATTTATTGTCGGATTTGGGTTTTCTTTTCCTTTTCTAGTTGTTCTATCTCTTTTTCGGCGTCAGTTCAAGGGGAAGTTACTAAAATTAGAGGATCGATTTCTGAATGTGGTCGCTGTTTCTCGATTATCGATAATCCGCGTCAGTAATTTCCTGAAGAATCACGATGTCGTTTCCCTAATTGGCTATATTCGGCTAGGGATATCATTCGTGATTCGACGCATCCGCTTTCCAACGTAACCACTTTTCGGTCGCCCCTCCAGTTGGCGTTTTTCTCCTTTTTGATTTCTTGCAAGTTTAACGGTTCGGTGTATCCCAAGTCGATTCCGGTATTGCGTAAGTATTCCCTTCTAATCAATTCTTGTTCCGCTCCTGTAATAACCCAATCTCTTAATACTAACAATTGTCTTGGTTCTGACGCTATCAGGTTGAATCCGTGGAATTCGATGGTGTAGATGGCTTTCCTTCTATCCAAGACTTCTAACGCAAGATGCTCGAAACGGGTTGGGTGGTAATACGTTTGATATGTATTACCGTACGATTTACTTGGTCCTGTGTGCTCTAAATTCTTTCGGTATTTGGATCCCAACTTGGTAAACGATAGCAGGGTGATCGGTTGGGCTTTTGGGTCGAATACCTCTTCGAACTTGGGTAAGTTAGGTTGTTTTTCGTTTGCTTGTTCTTCGACGTTTTCCGTTACTAATTCTTCTTTACCACTTTCTTTTATCGCCATATACCTATTGTTACGTTTATTCGGGACAATGCATCTGCATTCCAATGGGTACGTCCCGACCTATGCTGGATCGTGTAATTGTACGGCTGTAAACGAAGTATCCAACGGGCCCTTTTTCCCTTTAACTTCGTACTATGCAGCCACTTGAGTGCTGAGTGATCGGTTATGACGACGAACGGTTTAAAGCCGAAATAGTGGTGGTAGTATTCTACTGCCCAAATAACCGCCAAGCACTCTAATTCGCATGCCGAATAGTTTCGTTCGGCTTTTGATAGGCTGCGGCTAGCGTACGATATTACGTGCTCCTTCCCTTCTACATCTTTTTGAGCGAGAACAGCTCCTAATCCCGTCCCGGATGCATCGGTGTACAAGTAGAACGTATCGTCGAAGTCGGGGTACTTAAGAACAGGTGCCGTAATCAGGTAATTTTTTAATGTTTCGAATGCTTGTTGCTGTTGCGGCCCCCATTCGAAACTAACATCCTTTTGTAATAGACGGTGTAGAGGCCTCGCTATAGCTGCGAACCCGGGGATAAACTTTCGGTAATATGACGCAAGACCAATGAATCCCCTTAATTGACGGAGGGTACTAGGTACAGGGTACTTTTTAACTTTTTCTATTTTTCCCTCGTCAGGTTGTATGCCTTGCCGTCCGACGATGTGACCCAAAAAGTGGATGGTAGGTTTAAAGAATTCGCATTTTTCTATATTAATTTTTAATCCTGCTTCAGCTAACTTATCGAATACTTTTTTTAGGTGTCCCAAGTGTTCATCGAAGCTTCGTGAGTAGATGTTAATATCGTCAAGGTAGACGGTCACGAACTTCCCGATATACTCTTCTAAGATACGATCCATCAACCGTTGAAACGTGGCTGGTGCGTTCGAGAGACCGAACGGCATAACGTTGAACTCGTAAAGACCTCCCCGTGTTACGAAAGCTGTTTTCTCCCTGTCTTCCTCTTCGACTTTCACCTGCCAGTATCCGCTCTTCAAGTCTAAACTGGAAAACCAATTCGCGGTACTGAAGGTTTCCAACAAGTCGTCGATACGGGGTAGCGGGTAAGAATCCTTTCTTGTTACTTCATTCAACTTCCTGTAATCGACGCATAGTCGTAATTTTCCGTCCTTCTTTGGAACTACGACTACGGGTGAAGCCCACGGGCTATTCGACTTTCTAATTAACCCTCTTTTTTCCATCTCTTTTAGTTCCCTCTCGATGAATTCGTGCTCGCTTGGTGCTGCCCTATACGCCTTTTGTTTTATTGGCTTGGCTATGCCGGTCTCGATTCGATGGGTTATCACGTTAGTTTCTCCAAGTTCCTGTATATCGCTTGCGAACAGGGTCCTTTCTCGTCGAAAGAACGCTGCCGCTTTACTCTTGTCTTCTGTATTAAGGGTTTCGTTTTGGAGGAACTGTTCGATTCTTCCTTCTACGGTGAGTTCGGGTTCTTCGTCTTCCCTCGTAGGCATTTCCTCAACGTTCGTCAAGTACAAGGCCGGACTAGTGGATCCTTCCCACGGGTTATAGAACAATTCTTCTATTTCGTCGATGGCTTCTTCTGTGTAGTAACCTTCCGCTTCGACCAATTCTTCATCTTCATAGGTATATTCGCCGAATTCGTCCCCACTATCGCTACCGGGCTGGTCTCTCTCTTCCGGTACCTCCAACTTCTTCGTGCCGTTACTAGAGATGGGTACCTCGATTCTTTTACCGTCGTGCTTGAGGAACAACCGTTGTTCGTCGAAGTGAATTCGCGCTTGAGCCCTCTGGAACCAATCGTTGCCGAGCAGGAGGGTCTCGTCCGTAGACTCGATAACCTGGAAAGTACTAGGTAACAAGGTGTCTTGAATGGCCACCTTTACGTCCTCGATTTGTCCTAGAGCTCTTGTTCTTGTGCCGGTTGCCGTGATTACCACCGTGGCCGATGGTTTATCTATTTTCAGCCTTAACTTATCCATGAGCTTCCTTGTTATTATACTCACTGCAGCGCCTGAATCTAATACAGCTCGAATGGGGTTGCCTTTGATTCTTACGTAACAATGGGCGGCCGTGGTTCGATGGGCGTCGCTAAAATTTACCACCTGAGGTTCTTGGACTTCTTGGGGTACTAGAATTTCCTTGGGTTCTAGGGCCACAAGGGGTCGTCGTAATATCTGGGCTAAGTTTCTCCTTTGGTTCGGGTATTGGAGTAGTTGACCGTACGTGGCGTTCGCCCTCGTATTCAGCAAATCTTCTGCAATATTGTAGGGGGCGAGCTTATCTATCACGGACGGTCCCCTTTTCTTTCTTGGTTTCTTGACCGGTCTCGACTCGTCCAACTCCATAGGCTCCAGTTGGTCCCCCACGTCTACTAATAATGGTTCGGGTTCCGTTCGGGGTCGAAGCCTATTGTCCCACTTGGCTTCCGGTTGTAACCTTGGTCTTTTATCGGCAGTATCGGGTTGCGCTTGCTGTTTCCTTTTATCGGCTATATACAATTCGTCCCCGTCGTACTCATAGTTGCAATAATTCACTCTTCTTACGTTATCCGTCGGTCGTCTTTCCTCCTCACTAGGCCCTCTATACTTCTTCTCCGACATACAGTATCGGGCGATATGCCCTTTTTCGCCGCATCGATAACAGACGATATCCCTCTTGAGCTTGGGGGGTTCCTTATACCTTTCTTTTTCGCGCGGATCCCGTTCTTGTTGATTGGTTGCCGCAACGTAGTTAACCGATAGTTGCTGCACCTGCTTGACTAGTGCTTCTATAAGCTCGTCTTTCTTATCGGGGGTCACTGCGGTCTCGTGTAGGTGGGCGCCATAATATTCGCCCGCTTCGACTTTTCTTGCTGCCGCGATTGCTTCGTTGAGATTGGTAGGGGACGTTACTGCCACGAAGGTTGCCGTTTTTCCTTTCAAACCGCTTAAGAACATCCTTACTATATACGGGGCGGGTAAAGAGTCGGTTGGATCTACACGGCTCAGAAGTTTCTTGAACTTAGTGGCGTAGGCGTCCACCTTTTCGGTTTCAAGCTGGGCGAGACTATTCAATTGAATGTGCCACTTGTGCTGCTTTTCTGGGGTGGCAAAGAAGGCGACTAGCAAGTGATAGAAGCTCCTGTCTTGGTCGTCATCGTTCTTCCATTCTTCAATGACGGCTTTATTATCCTTGTACCATTCCGCCGCCAATCCCTTAAGGTAGCCAGAAGCTATCTTCAGCTTCCGTTCATCTGTCCAATTATTCGCTTCAGCAGCGCGCTCGAAATCGTCGAACCATTCAATTGGGTCCTCGTCGTCACTACCACTGAAGCCTCTAACCTTCACGTGGTTCGTTTCCCTTGATCCGGACCCATTTCCTTTCACGATATCTTTAGCTGCGTCCTCGAAAGACTTGGTCATATTTTCTATTAGTTCTCTGAGCTGGGTTGCGTTCATGATGGCAGGGCTAAATGGTG